CTGCCGAGAGAACAGAGAGGGGGTTGGGGGTTGTTTCCTTCCCTCGTCTCCTGAGCCGCTGGAACGGGAATTCCCAACAAACTGGGAGCTCGTGGATGCCAAGGGAATTCCCAACAAACTGGGAGCTCGTGGATCCCAAGGGAATTCCCAACAAACTGGGAGCTTGTGGATCCCAAGGGAATTCCCAACAAAGTGGGAGCTCGTGGATCCCAAGGGAATTCCCAACAAAGTGGGAGCTTGTGGTTCCCAAGGGAATTCCCAACAAACTGGGAGCTTGTGGATCCCAAAGGAATTCCCAACAAACTGGGAGCTCGTGGATCCCAAGGGAATTCCCGTTGCATTGGGAGCTCGTGGATCCACAGGGAATTCCCATCAAAGTGGGAGCTCGTGGCTCCCACAGGGAATTCCCAACAAACTGGGAGTTCGTGGATCCCAAAGGAATTCCCAACAAACTGGAAGCTCGTGGATCCCAAGGGAATTCCCAACAAACTGGGAGCTCGTGGATCCCAAAGGAATTCCCATTGCATTGGGAGCTCGTGGATCTTCAGGGAATTCCCAACAAACCGGGAGTTCGTGGCTCCTCAGGGAATTCCCAACAATCTGGGAGTTCGTGGCTCCCCACGGAATTCCCGTTGCATTGGGAGCTTGTGGTTCCCTGGAGAATTCCCAACAAACTGGGAGCTCATGGTTCCCCAGGGAATTCCCAACAAACTGGGAGCTCGTGGATCCACAGGGAATTCCCAACACACTGGAAGCTCGTGGCTCCCCATGGAATTCCCATTGCACTGGGAGCTTGTGGATTCTCAGGGAATTCCCATTCCATTGGGAGTGCGTGGCTCCCAAGGGAATTCCCAACAAACTGGGAGCTCGTGGCTCCCCAGGGAATTCCCGTTGCACTGGGAGCTTGTGGTTCCCCAAGGAATTCCGGCCGTGCCGGTTCCCGTTCGGGATCGGCTCTGCTGGAGCCAACATTCCAACCCCACATTCCAGGGGCTGCCAGGTGATGGCAGCACCGGAACATTCCCTCCTCCGGCAGCTCCGAGGGCTCCGGCAAAAACGAGTCGGGATTTTCCTCCCTTTCCCACACAATCCTTTGGGATTTTCCTTCCCTTCCCACACAATCCTTTGGGATTTTCCTCTATTATTTCCCACACAATCCTTTGTGATTTTCCTCTATTATTTCCCACACAATCCTTTGGGATTTTCCTTCCCTTCCCACCCAATCCTTTGGGATTTTCCTTCCCTTCCCACCCAATCCTTTGGGATTTTCCTCTATTTCCCACACAATCCTTTGGGATTTTCCTCCCTTTCCCACACAATCCTTTGGGATTTTCCTCCCTTTCCCACACAATCCCTTTGGGATTTTCCTCTCTTTCCCCTCAGTCACTTTGGGATTTTCCCCTATTTCCCAGACAACCAGTTCCCGAATCCCTCAGGATTCGCCCCCGGGTGTCTCCCGTGGATTTTCCCGCGGGTTTGCCGAGGACACCGAGGGGCTCCAGGAGAGCTGGAGAGGGATTTGGGACACGGGATGGAGGGACAGGACACAGGGAACGGCTTCCCCTGGAAAAAGGGGGGATTTCAATGGATTTTGGAAAGGGATCCTCCCCCTCAGGGTTTTGGCCACCGAAAAGGGGTTTTTTGGGATGTTCCATGTCCCACCTCACCCCCTTTCCAGGGATGGGGAGCTCGTTATCCACCCCAAACCAACACTAATTAATAAACGAGGGCTGAGAATGGACACTGGGGGCAGTTACAGGGAGGAGGGAGGGGGTTGGGATGCCCCCCCTTGGGACATCCCAGTCCATCCCAATCCACCCCAGTCCATCCCAATCCATCCCAGTCCACCCCAGTCCATCCCAATCCATCCCAGTCCATCCCAGTCCATCCTAGTCCATCCCAATCCACCCCAATCCATCCCAGTCCATCCCAGTCCACCCCAGTCCATCCCAATCCATCCCAGTCCATCCCAGTCCACCCCAGTCCATCCCAATCCATCCCAGTCCACCCCAGTCCATCCCAGTCCACCCCAGTCCATCCCAGTCCACCCCAATCCATCCCAGTCCATCCCAGTCCATCCCAGTCCACCCCAGTCCATCCCAGTCCATCCCAATCCATCCCAGTCCATCCCAATCCATCCCAATCCATCCCAGTCCACCCCAGTCCACCCCAGTCCATCCCAGTCCATCCCAGTCCATCCCAGTCCATCCCCGTCCACCCCAGTCCATCCCAGTCCATCCCAGTCCACCCCAGTCCATCCCAGTCCATCCCAATCCATCCCAATCCATCCCAGTCCACCCCAGTCCATCCCAATCCACCCCAGTCCATCCCAATCCACCCCAGTCCATCCCAATCCACCCCAGTCCATCCTAGTCCATCCCAATCCATCCCAGTCCATCCCCGTCCACCCCAGTCCATCCCAGTCCATCCCAGTCCATCCCAGTCCACCCCAGTCCATCCCAGTCCATCCCTGCTTTCTCGGGAGCCTCCCGTGTTTTTCCGTCCCCACGTGACGTTTTTCCATCGGGGAAGGAAGGAAAAGAGCAGCCAAGAGACCCGAGGGGGACCGAACCAACGGGATTCCCGTGGATTGGAACAGCTCAGCTTCACCCCCAGTTGCTGAGGGACATCCAATCCAACCCTTCCCAGTGTTTTCCCTCCGGGAATGCCGACGCTCCACCGGAGTCACGAACGCCCGGCAACAGAAGGGGTGTTTTGGTGCCAAACTCTGCCCCAAAACGCTCCTTTTTCTCCCCAAAACGACACCCAGAAGGCAGGGACGAGGCCTTGGAGATCCTTGGATTCTCCAGAGACCCCCCCCGGGAACGGGGCCGGAGCGGGGCCGTGCCCATCCCGCTTCCCAAGAAACATCCCGGGGTTTAATTAACACCTCAATTAACACCCCAGGGTTTAATTAACGCCCCGATTAACCGCTCTGGTGAAAGGGAAGGTGACAGCACTCCCGGGGCTGGCAGAGCCGGGCGTTCCCCCCCGGAATTCCATGGGAATGGGGGTCTGTCCGTACCTGCTTCCTTCCGCGCGCGGCCCCGGCCCTTGGTCTGGGCGATGACGATTTCCGTCTCCTCCTGGCTCATCTCCGAGATCTTCTGCAGGAAAAGCTTCTCCAGAGCTTCTGCCATTAAGACTATGTCGTCCCCCGGCTGCGGGACATGGGGAGAGCGGGAATCAGGTCGGGAGGGCGTTTCCAGGCGGGAATTCCCAGGGGAAAGGCCCACGGGATCGGCCCCGCGCTCCCGGGAATCCGAACCCTCAAGTTCAACATTCCATGATATCCCGGGCTTTTCCCTACTGACTTCCAAAGACTGTGTCATGCCCAGACTGCAGGACACGGGGAGAGCGGGAATCAGGCTGGGAGGGCGTTTCCAGGCGGGAATTCCCAGGGCAAAGGTCCACGGGATCGGCCCCGCGCTCCCGGGAATCCGAACCCTCAAGCTCAACATTCCATGATATCCCTGGCTTTTCCCTACTGACTTCCAAAGGCTGTGTCATCCCCCGGCTGCAGGACACAGGGAGAGCGGGAATCAGGCCAGGAGGGCATTTCCAGGCGGGAATTCCCAGGGGAAAGGGTTCCACGTGCTCCGGGGAATCCAAACCCTCGACTCAATCCAAACCCCCAAGCTCAACATTCCATGATATCCCTGGTTTTTCCCTACTGACTTCCAAAGGCTGTGTCATGCCCAGACTGCAGGACACGGGGAGAGCGGGAATCAGGCCGGGAGGGCACTTCCAGGCAGGAATTCCCCAGGGAAAGGCCCCGGGATCGGCCCCGCGCTCCCGGGAATCCAAACCCTCAAGCTCAACATTCCATGATATCCCTGGCTTTTCCCTACTGACTTCCAAAGGCTGTGTCATCCCCCGGCTGCAGGACACGGGGAGAGCGGGAATCAGGCCGGGAGAGCGTTTCCAGATGGGAATTCCCAGGGGAAAGGCCCCGGGATCGGCCCCGCGCTCCCGGGAATCCGAACCCTCGACTCGATCCAAACCCCCAAGCTCAATATTCCATGACATCCCTGGCTTCCCACACAGTCCTTTGGGATTCTCCTCTATTATTTCCCACACAATCCTTTGGGATTTTCCTCTCTTTCCCCACAATCCCTTTGGGATTTTCCTCTATTATTTTCCACACAATCCTTTGGGATTTTCCTCTATTTCCCACACAATCCTTTGGGATTTTCCTCTATTATTTCCCACACAATTTTTTGGGATTCTTCTCTATTATTTCCCACACAATCCATTGGGATTTTCCTCTATTATTTCCCACACAATCCCTTTGGGATTTTCCTCTATTTCCCCTCAATCCCTTTGGGATTTTCCTCTATTATTTCCCACCCAATCTCTTTGGGATTTTCCTCTATTATTTCCCACACAATCCTTTGGGATTTTCCTCTATTATTTCCCACACAATCCTTTGGGATTTTCCTCTATTATTTCCCACCCAATCCTTTGGGATTTTCCTCTAATTTCCCACACAATCCTTTGGGATTTTCCTCTATTATTTCCCACCCAATCCCTTTGGGATTTTCCTCTCTTTCTCCTCCATCACTTTGGGATTTTCCTCTATTATTTCCCACCCAATCCTTTGGGATTTTCCTCCCTTTCCCACCCAATCCTTTGGGATTTTCCAGGTGTGGAGTGCAGATCTCTGCTGAGAATTCCAGGGGGAGGGAAGGCCCCTTCCATCCTGGTTGTTTTCCCAACGGAGCCGAGCTCGGCAGAGGCTCCTCCCAAGGGAAATTCCCTGTGGGAAAAGGTGGATCCAGGCCCTGGGGGTACCTTGTTGTAGATGTAGCAGTTTGTAAACATGGTGTTGAAATCCTGGATACATTCCTGGGCGTTCCAGTAGTAATTGTTCTCCAGGCGCTTCTTTATTGTTCCCATGTCCATCGGGGTTTTAATGATCTTGTAATAATCCTGGGAAAGGGGGAAGGGACAGAAATCAGGCTGGGAAGGAAAAGTCCAAAGGGTTGAGGTTCCTCTGGGTCTCTCTTATACCTGGATACACCTGGATCCAACCACTGGATCATCAAATCCAACCATGGAATCTCCAAATCCAACCATCAGATCACCAAATCCAACCATCAGGTCACCAAACCCAACCATCAGATCACCAAATCCAACCATGAGAACACCAAATCCAACCATGGAATCTCCAAATCCAACCATCAGGTCACCAAATCCAACCATGGAATCTCCAAATCCAACCATCAGGTCACCAAATCCAACCATCAGATCTCCAAATCCAACCCCTGGATCACCAAATCCAACCATCAGATCACCAAATCCAACCACTGGATCACCAAATCCAACCATCACATCTCCAAATCCATCCACTGGATCACCAAATCCAACCATCACATCTCCAAATCCAACCACTGGATCACCAAATCCAACCATGGAATCTCCAAATCCAACCATCAGGTCACCAAATCCAACCATCACATCTCCAAATCCATCCACTGGATCACTGAGTCCAATCACTGGACCAGGAATCCAACGGCTGCATCGTGAATCCAAGTCCTACCACTGGATCAAGTCCAACCCTCAATGACCGAGTCTAACCATTGGATCATGGAGTCCAACTGTTGGATCCAACCATTAGACCATGGAGTCCAACCATTGGATCACCAAGTCCAACCACTGGATCATGGAGTCCAACCACTGGATCACTGAGTCCAATCATTGGATCAAGTCCAACCACTGGATCATGGAGTCCAACTGTTGGATCCAACCATTGGATCACCAAGTCCAACCACTGGATCATTGAGTCCAATCATTGGATCAGACTCCAACCATTAGACCATGGAGTACAACCACTGGATCAAGTCCAACCACTGGATCAGAGTCCAACCACTGGACCACCTACTCCAACCATTGGATCAACCCCAACCATCGGATCAGAGTCCAACCACTAGACCATGGAGTCCAACCATTGGATCATGGACTCCAACCACTGGATCAGAGTCCAACCGTTGGATCACCTACTCCAACCGTTGGATCAACCCCAACCGCGCAGGTCAAGTTCCATGACCTCAGGACCGGGAGGACACCCGCGCCACGCCACGCCCCACCCATGCCACGCCCCTACCCCCTGTCCCACGCCCCTTCCCCCTGCACTCACGGGGAGGTTGAGCTTGACGGCGTCCACGGGCTGCTGGAAGGGCCACGCGAACTGGTGCTTCCAGAGCGTCTTGAGCACCACCTTGAGCAGGTACTGCAGCTGGTTCGTTTGGCGCTTGGGCTTGTTGGGGTTGGAGGTCTCCGGCGGGGGGGGGTTGACGCCGATGCCGATGCCCTGCTGGGGCTGGGCCTGGGCCGGCGTCGTGGACATCTGGGAGCTCTCCAGCCCGTCCCCCATCACCGGCAGGTTCCGCAGCCTCGTGCCGGGGCCGCTCTCCGCCGCCATGCTGTTGATCCCATTGCACTCCTCACCGGACACCCTGCGGGGAGGGAAGAGGGGGACCCTTCAATCCTGGCTTTGGGTTACCTAAAAACCGACCCGGGGATCTCCCCCGGACCGGGCGGTGTCCTCGCGGTGACCGCGCCGGGCCGTCACAACCGACGGGCGTCCCCCATTGGGAGAGGACGTTCCCGTCCCGTTTCCCGTCCCCGCTCCTCGGGAGCCGGAGTTTTACCCTGTTCTTGCCTAATCTGGTCAAGGAGGACTCCGAGGTTCTCCGTGAAGAGCTTCCACTGCCTCAGAACGAGGCTCCTGGGTCCCGGCAGGAACCACCAGGACGCCAAGAACGGGCGTTAAACTGGGGCTGGTCAACCTTCATCTCCGGCTGAAGGGGCACAGGGTGACCCACGGGGCTCCCTCCAGCTTCTCCAGGGTCCCACCCGCCCTGGGGGGTCAGCTGAGCCCAGTTCCACCCCAAAGACTGACTTTCAGGGGAAGGTTGAGCTCTGACAGGGACAGACCCAAATTAAACTCGTGGGATCTTTTGGGAGAGGGTTGAAGGTCTAATTTAGGGAGATCATTCTTAGGTAGGTCATTAGGTGGGGAATCTTTGCCTCAATAATCTTCAGGTTGACCAACCTTTGGGTCAACGAGTCTTTGGGTCAACCAATCTTTGGGTCGATAAATCTTTGCGTTGACCGATCTTTTCATCAATGAATCTCTGGGTCAGCCAATCTTTGGGTCGATCAATCTTTGGGCTGATAAATCCTTGGACTGACCAACCTTTGGGTCGACCAACCTTTGAGTCAATAAATCTTTGGGTCAATAAATCTCTGAGTAAATAAATCCTGGGGTCGATAAATATTTTGGTCAATAAATCTTTGGGTCAGCAATGTCTGGGTCAACCAATCTTTGGGTCAATGAATATTTGAATCAATGAATCTTTGGGTCGATGAATCTTTGGGTCAACCAACATTTGGGTCAATAAATCTTTGGCTCAATAATCTCTGGGTCGACCAATCTTTGGGTCAACCAATCTCTGGGTCAATAAATCTTTGGCTCAATAATCTCTGGGTTGACCAATCTTTGTGTCAATGAATCTTTGGGTCAATGAATCTCTGGGTCAACAAATCTTTGAGTCAATAAATCTTTAGGTCAGTGAATCTTTGGGTCAATAAATCTTTGGCTCAATAACCTCTGGGTTGATCAATCTTTGGGTCAATAAATCTTTGGGTCAATGAATCCTTGGGTTGACCAACCTTTGGGTCAACCAACCTTCGTTTGGGTCAACCAATCTTTGGGTCAATGAATTTTGGGTTGACCCACCTTTGGGTCAACCAACCTTTGAGTTAATGAATTTTTGGGTCAATAAATCTTTGGGTCAATGAATCTTTGGGTCAACCAACATTTGGGTCAACCAATCTTTGGGTCAATAAATCTTTGGCTCAATAATCTCTGGGTTGATCAATCTTTGGGTCAATGAATCTTTAGGTCAATGAATCTTTGGGTCAACCAATCTTTGGGTCAACGGAGACATCCAGGGAGACCCAGGTAGACAAACCCTCAAATAATTACTGTTGGTGGATAACTGAGGTAGGAAATAACCCTGAGTGGTTAATTTGCATAGATAATTGACGGGGGCCACCTTCAGGTCATTAACCCAGGCAGGTGACCCCGAACTTGCTCATTTGCATAACGAGGGGGGGTCATTTCCTTCCGTGGATAATCGTGGCCCGTATGGATCATTTGGGATAATCCGGGGTGGGAATCCGACCCCACACGACTCCGGGGGGTGGTTTACACGGATAATCCTCGGGAACTTCATTTCAGCATCATTCCAAGACCAGAAATTTGGGAAAACTGTCATTTCTCGGGCTGTTTTCCGGGAGTTTTTTTTCCCGGAAGTTTCTCCCGGAAGTTTTTCCCGGAGTTTTTTCCCCCCACTCCCCCTGGGAGGCCCCGTTACCTTGTAGGATACATTGCCATGGAATTTTGCCCCGGAAAACGCTGCGGAGTCAGAAGTCGCTTGGCTTGTCCATCTATCGGCCGTGGCTCCGGGCACAGATGCCTCCAGATCCCGAATCTGGGAGAACAAACACGCCCTGAATCCCGGGAATCCAGCCCAGGCACCGGGAACACGCCCTGAATCCCGGGAATCCAGCCCAGGCACCGGGAACACGCCCTGGATCCCGGGAATCCAGCCCAGGCACCGGGAACGAGGGAAAACCCCAGGGAATTGAGCCAACGGCTCCGAGCGCGGCTCCGGATGGAATTCCCGAATTCCTGCCCTCCGGGGACGCCCCAAAAAGTCCCGAAATCAGGAATTCCACGGGGAGAAGGATCCCAGGGGGGTCCTCACCTGAATTCCCAGTTGCCCTTCCCGCTGTCGCTCCCTCAGCAGCCGAAGGCTCCGAGCGGCATCTTCGGCTCCGAGCGGCTCTGGGAAGGCTCTGCAGGGACAACATTCCATGAATTCCAGGGGTCAACGTTCCCAAGGAATTCCAGGGGTCAAGGACAACAATCCAGGAATTCCAGGGGTCAACATTCCCAAGGAATTCCAGGGGTCAAGGACAACATTCCCAAGGAATTCCAGGGGTCAAGATTCCCAAGGAATTCCCGGGGTCAAGGACAACAATCCAGAAATTCCAGGGGTCAACGTTCCCAAGGAATTCCAGGGGTCAAGAACAACATTCCCAAGGAATTCCAGGGGTCAAGGACAACATTCCCACTCAATTCCCAGGTTCAAGGACAAAATTCCCGGGTCCAAGGACAACATTCCCAACAAATTCTGGGGTTTTAGCCCCAAAGGCTCTGCAAGGACAACATTCCATGAATTCCCAGGTTCAAGGACAACATTCCCACTGAATTCCCGAGTTCAAGGACAACATTCCCAATTAATTCCCGCGGTCAAGGACAACATTCCCAATTAATTCCCGCGGTCAAGGACAACATTCCCAAGATAAAGGACAACATTCCCAAAGAATTCCGAGTTTTTAGCCCCGAAGGCTCTGCAAGGACAACATTCCCAATGAATTCCTGGGTGCAAGGACAACATTCCCAAGGAATTCCCAGGGTCAAGGACAACATTCCTGAGTCAAGGACAGCATTCTCAATGAATTCCCAGTTTTTAAGGACAACATTCCCAATGAATTCCCAGTTTTTAGCCCCAAAGGCTCTGCAAGGACAACATTCCCAAGGAATTCCCGGGTGCAAGGACAACATTCCCAAGGAATTCCCAGTTTTTAAGGACAACATTCCCAAGGAATTCCAGGGGTCAAGGACAACATTCCTGCCCAATTCCCGGGTCCAAGGACAAAATTCCCACTGAATTCCCAGGTGCAAGGACAACATTCCCAATGAATTCCCAGTTCAAGGAAAACATTCCCAATGAATTCCCAGTTTTTAAGGACAACATTCCCAACGAATTCCCAAGGTCCAGGACAACATTCCGGCCCAATTCCCAGGTGCAAGGACAACATTCCCAATTAATTCCCAGCAAGGACAACATTCCCAATGAATTCCCTGGTCCAAGGACAACATTCCCGAGCCAAGAACAACATTCCCAATGAATTCCCAGTTTTTAAGGACAACATTCCCAATGAATTCCCGGTTTTTAGCCCCGAAAGCTCTGCAAGGACAACATTCCCAAGGAATTCTCGGGTCCAAGGACAACATTCCCGAGTCAAGGACAACATTCCCAATGAATTCCCGGGGTCAAGGACAACATCCAAGGAATAACAGGGATCACCAGAATCAGCCCCTTGGGAATAACAGGGAGCAGCCAAAGGCCCCAAACCAACCCCCAATCCCTGAAATTCCCACTTTCCCTCCCCAAAAACGGGAATTTTTCCCTCAAAAGGCACCAGACCCACCTCAAACCCCCCGGAATTCCCACCCCAATCCCGGCTCTCCTGGTGTTCCCGGATGTTTTCCCGGCGCTCCCTGGTTTTGGTTGGTGCCCCGGAATTTTTTTTCCGGCTTGTTTTATGCTTCGCCTGGCTCGGATCCACCCCCCTCCCCCCTGGAGTCATTCCAGGATTATCCCAAAGCCCTTGGAAAAGTTCTAATTAGGAACCGTCCCAGGATTCCTCTTCCCAGAAATCCCAGAATGGCGACCGAGCTCCTTCTTCCCGCTAAACCCGGGATCAGGAGGCCAGTCCCGCTCCCCGGAGCTGCGGCAGCGCTTCCCAGATATTTGGCACTCCGGAATTTGGGAGGAAATCCCCGATTTTCCCGCCGGTTTCCGGCGAAAGCGACGCCCGGCACAGAATTCCCAAAAAATTCCCAAGGAGAGGCTCCAAAATATCCAGGGAAAAGGATGAAAGGTGGTTCCAAAGGAGCAGTTTTGGGTCTCTCAGCAGGTTCAGATCCCGTTCCCAAAGTTCCCGCTGGGAATTCCAGTCCCTTTCCCAAAAAATTCCAAAGGAGAAGCTCCAAAATATCCGGGAAAAGGGATGAAAGGCAGCCCCGAAGGAGCAGTTTCGGGGTTTGGATCCCAATCCCAAAGTTCCAGCTGGGAATTCCAGTCCCTTTCCCAAAAAATTCCCAAGGAGAAGCTCCAAAATATCCGGGAAAAGGGATGAAAGGCGGTCCCAAAGGAGCAGTTTCGGGGTTTGGATCCCAATCCCAAAGTTCCAGTTGGGAATTCCGGTCCCACTCCAAGGTATCCCAGCGCCTTTCCCGGGATGCTCTGAGCGATATCCGGGCGGGAAGCGCCGCATCCCGAGGGAGCTTCCCGGTTTTCCGGCAGGACGAGTTTGGAGAAGCTCCAAAACCGCCTGAAAATCCTTTGGGTCGCTGCTTTTCCGAGAGTTTTCCCAAAATCCCACGGCGTTCCCAGAGGTGCTGCTGCTCGGAAGACTCGGAGCAGGAAAGTCCCGGGCCGGAATTCCGATCCCTCCGGATCCCTCCGGATCCCTCCGGATCCCGCCGGCTCCTCCCAAGGGCCGTTGAGGGGAACTCGAGGCCGTTATCCAGGGAAAATCCCTTTTCCAGGGGGATTCCGACCCCTTTTCCCGGCGCCGGGGCGGCTCCTCCGTGGCCTGGACGCATCCAGGTTTTTCCCAATCCCGGCTGAGGGAACTTCTTTGGGCGTTTTCCGTGGGAAGGAGCAGGATTTGGGATGGATCCGGAGCCGGGAGCCCCCGGCAGCTTCTCCCCTCCCCCCAATCCCAGGGAAAAGCCCGGGATGCTCCGAAGGCTTCGGGATCAGGATGTGGGAGAGCTCTGGGACGCCCCCCCCACCCCCTCCCGGCTCCCTCGGGCTCCAATTCCCTGGAATTTTCAGTGGGAAAACTCCCAGTTAGACGCAGATCCCAAACCCTCCCCCCGGACACGGCTCAGCCCAGAATTCCCGACGGGAGCCGCCATCCTTCCATCCCACATCCGGCACATTCCCGGGGGATTCCGGCTCTGTGGGACGATCCCGAACCCGCAGGGCCACATTCCAAGGATCCCAGACAGGATCCAACAGCCCGTTCCCGTTCCCTGTTCCCGTTCCCTGTTCCTGTTCCCATTCCCTGTTCCCGTTCCCTGTTCCCCTTCCCTGTTCCCATTCCCTGTTCCTGTTCCCATTCCCTGTTCCCTGTTCCCATTCCCTGTTCCTGTTCCCATTCCCTGTTCCCTGTTCCCATTCCCTGTTCCTGTTCCCGTTCCCTGTTCCCATTCTCTGTTCCCATTCCCTGTTCCCGTTCCCATTCCCTGTTCCCATTCCCTGTTCCCATTCCCTGTTCCCATTCCCTGTTCCCGTTCCCTGTTCCCGTTCCCTGTTCCCATTTCCTGTTCCCATTCCCTGTTCCCATTCCCTGTTCCCTGTTCCCATTCCCTGTTCCCATTTCCTGTTCCCCTTCCCTGTTCCCATTCCCTGTTCCTGTTCCCATTCCCTGTTCCCTGTTCCCATTCCCTGTTCCTGTTCCCATTCCCTGTTCCCTGTTCCCATTCCCTGTTCCTGTTCCCGTTCCCTGTTCCCATTCTCTGTTCCCATTCCCTGTTCCCGTTCCCATTCCCTGTTCCCATTCCCTGTTCCCATTCCCTGTTCCCATTCCCTGTTCCCGTTCCCTGTTCCCGTTCCCTGTTCCCATTTCCTGTTCCCATTCCCTGTTCCCATTCCCTGTTCCCTGTTCCCATTCCCTGTTCCCGTTCCCTGTTCCCTGTTCCCATTTCCTGTTCCCATTCCCTGTTCCCATTCCCTGTTCCCGTTCCCTGTTCCCATTCCCTGTTCCCATTCCCTGTTCCCTGTTCCCATTCCCTGTTCCCATTTCCTGTTCCCGTTCCCTGTTCCGTGTTTAGGGAAGGACCATCCCCAACAATCCCGGGAAACGCGGCTGCACCAGCAACCCCCTCCCTGTGGAGATTCCCCCCGGGATCCAGGGAAAGCTGCCTGGAATGTGAAGTGGGAATGCTGCTGTTTAATGGGATCAGGGGCCACAATTCCCTGGATTTCCCCCGTTCTCAGGGTCTCCAATTCCCGGATTTTCCCTCGATTCCCAGGATTTTCCAGGGGTTGAAGGGGAAACCTCTCCCTGCAAACCCGGGTTTGACATTCCCGAGGGTGACATTCCTGAATCCCATCCAGGGCCTGGATGGAATCCCCAGCCTGGGAATGCTGCCATTACTTGGGAATGCTGTTGTTTAACGGGATCAGGGGCCACAATTCCTGGGATTTGCCCTCAATTCCCGGGATTTGCCCGGCGCTGAAGGGGAAACCTCTCCCTGCAAACCCGGGTTTGACATTCCCAAGGGTGACATTCCAGGGCTGTGGAATCCCCAGCCTGGGAATGCTGCTGTTTAATGGGATCAGGGGCTGCAATTCCCTGGATTTCCCTCATTCTCAGGGACTCCAATTCCCGGGATTTGCCCTCGATTCCCGGGATTTGCCCAGGGCTGAAGGGGAAACCTCTCCCTGCAAACCCGTGTTTGACATTCCCGAGGGTGACATTCCTGAATCCCATCCAGGGCCTGGATGGAATCCCCAGCCTGGGAATGCTGCAATTACTTGGGAATGCTGCTGTTTAACGGGATCAGGGGCCACAATTCCTGGGATTTGCCCTCAATTCCCGGGATTTGCCCGGCGCTGAAGGGGAAACCTCTCCCTGCAACCCCGGGTTTGACATTCCCGAGGGTGACATTCCAGGGCCATGGAATCCCCAGCCTGGGAATGCTGCTGTTTAATGGGATCAGGGGCCACAATTCCCTGGATTCCCCCCATTCTCAGGATCTCCAATTCCCGGGATTTGCCCTCGATTCCCTGGATTTGCCCGGGGCTGAAGGGGAAACCTCTCCCTGCAAACCCGGGTTTGACATTCCCGAGGGTGACATTCCCAAATCCCAACCAGGGCCTGGATGGAATCCCCAGCCTGGGAATGCTGCAATTACTTGGGAATGCTGCTGTTTAACGGGATCAGGGGCCACAATTCCCTGGATTCCTCTGGTTCTCAGGGACTCCAATTCCCGGGATTTGC